GCCAGAAAGAGAAAGAAAAATACCGGATGGTTTCCCTCATAGCAGGAGTATAATGGACCAGGCAAGAAAATAACAAAAATAATGAACAACCATGTACCAGAGACATTTTGCGGGGGTGGAGTGGGGAATGGGATAAAAAATGGGGTGGGGAGGGAAGTGCACAGGATTATGGTGATGGCACATGGGTGACTTGTGATGGGAAACCCACGGGGATCACAATTCAGATGGAAAAAAATGTACAAAATGATGTAAAAATAAACTGTTGTAAAATAAAAAGAACATTTAAGGGTAAAAAAAAATTAGATGTGCTTAACTCAAATAAAAGCAGAAACTTGAGGGCAAAATGTTGTCTCCCCTATTCCATACCCCTCAATTATGGGCCCCATATACACTCAGGACCTGTGAAAGAAACAAACTTCTAAGTTCTAGTCTCCAGAAGGTTCTTGGGTTTGATCCTCTAGCACTCAAAAGATCCGCGGGAGCTGGTCCAACCACAGCACTGATTCATTAAGGACCTGATGGTTTGGGGCGGTGGGGAGGCTCACTGGAGGCCCAAGTGAGAACCACAGACAGGACAGAAACAATATAAAACCACAGGAAAAATTAAGCCTAGGATAAGTGTACCTGCCTTCCAGGAAGTTCCATGGCAGGGTCCCGTGTTCTGTCTGAGAAATGTCTCCAGAGCTGACCCAGAGTCCCTCGGCCTAGGCAGCTGTCCAGTGAAAACATTGTTCCTGGTGGCCAAGGCTGCACTTAGTACCTCTTGGGGGGCCCCTGAGCCTAGGGAGAGTCTTGGTCTCCTCATCCCCAAGCAGCAAGGAATTCTGACCCCAGCTCAGGGTCTTTCAAGTGCTTACTCACAGGAATCACCTGAGCTTTGGGACCAGCCCTCGGCCTCCCCTTCACTGACCCTTAATTGGTTCCTAACGGGCTGTGGGTGTGCCGGGTTCTCCCCAGGCCTGTGCTTTGGGGCAGCAGAGGCCGCCCTGCCCCCCAGACAGACAGGTGCCCTGGGCCACAGGACGGGGCAGACACCCTGTGGGGGCAGGAGCCCAGGGTGACAGGGAGACCCCCACATCCCCATCCTCTGGGGCTCTGGGTGGGTCCAGGCCTGAGCAGGTGCAGTGATGAGCTTGGGATCTGGCTCCCCTCACATCCTGGGCTCAGGCCCTGGCGCCTCTGGCCTCTCCCCTGTGTGTAGGATGCGCTCCCAGGACAGTGGACGCTGCAGACCCAGCCAGACCACGGGAGCCTGGGCCCTCGTCTGCCCCCACAGAACTTCACAGAGACACAGGGACACTGCGTGGGGAGACCCAAACCGACTCAGCAAACTATGGAAACCTCATGACTGAAGTGAGGCTGGACTGAGGTTGGAGAAAGGGCTGTGAGACCTGGGGACAAATAGACAAATAGACGTGTGTGTGTGTGTGTGTGTGTGTGTGTGTGTGTGTGTTCCTGGGCTCTGGGCTCCGGGTCTCAGAGGGCACTGAGTGCAGAGATTCAAACCAACCACGACAAACTCTGAAATCTTATTAGAGAAAAGAGGTTACTTTGCGATGAGCAGTGGGGAACTGGGCAGAGGACTCCAGTGGAGAGTAGAAAAGTGTAGTACAGTTGTGATGGCAGTGTACTTAGGTGATACTCATCTAAGGAGGGGGGACCCTACAGCCCTAAAACCTGTTCAGTGCAGTTAGTCATTCTTACCTAAAAGCAATGAATTATGAAAACATGAGAAAGAAAACTGGGACTAAAGTAGAAAAAATTTCTCCACATCCATGGATCCCGCCCAGAGGGATGGGCTGGCAGGGAGAGGTGCGGATGTCGGGGTGGGGGGTGTCCCTGTCCTCCTGGGCTCCTGCCCCCACAGGGTGTCTGCCCCTGTCCTGTGGCCCAGGACACCTGTCTGTCTGGGTGGGCAGGGCGTTCTATGATGACTGCAAAAGCTTCGCATGTCTGTACCACCCACCCCAATCTCGACATGGAAAACAACATTGATCAACGTTCTATATGACCCCAAAAGAATAAGTAACAGAAAGAAAATGACATGGACACATCAACATTTAAAATTTATGAACATCTACAGAGGCAGTCAGTGGAAGAATCCTATAGAGAACAAAGGAAGAAAATACTTCCAGAACATCTTTTCATGAGGGCTAGGAATGCAGATGGAGAAAGAGTCTCTAAAATTCAGCAAGAGAAAGGGAAACATAACTGGAAAATTGTGAATATACTTGTTGAATATTTTCCCCAAAGAAATATATAACCAGTGAACAATGACAGGACCCCTGAGCTCTCCTGCGAAGCCGCAGAGGAGTCTGGCGTCCCTTGGGCCACACACACGGACTCCATCCAGGACCCGCTGACCGCAGCACACAGGGCCTTAGCCAGCCAGATGCAGGGGGTAAGGGAGATACATGTCAGGGCGCTCTGGGGAAGGGAGGGCTCCATTTAGACATGGGAGAGCAAAATAATTGCACAAGATGTCATGAGCTATATAGTGATGATAATGAGAATAACCGAACTCAAATACAAACAACTGGATAAAGCCACAGATCACTAAGGTGTATTATTCTAAGTCCAACCCCTCTGTATCCACCGGGCCTGAGGCCTGTGATGCCCACAGAGACCAGCCCTGCACCCCCAGGCAGGAGCCGGCTCCTGCAGCCTGCTGTGGACTCAGCAGGAGCCTCATCAGGTCTCACATCCAGCTGCCGGTCACAGGGAAGCAAAGGACACAGGGGGACCTCAGAGCGCAGTGGTGCCAGTCTTAGGATCTGGAGCTTCCCAGTTCTCAATATAGAGTGTTGTGCAGGACCCACGATAAGCTGGGGAGGGTGGAGACTGCATGGATGATCTGGTCAGGGCTGTGCAGGGTGTTATAGAGAGAAAGGTTCCTGCGCATGGGAGGAGGGACAGACCTGCTGGGAGGACTCAGGTCTCAGACCCACCTGCTGGGAGGATTCATGGCCTGGCCTGGGGCACTCCTGTCTTCCACAAGCTCCCACGATTAACCCAACTGCCCAAGAGACAGATACCATGGTGAAAACTGTGGCTTCAGCAGGTGGCCTGGACTCTCCCCAGCACCCCCTGAGCAGGGAGGCCCAGACCCAAAGGCCTCAGCTCCTGACAAACAGGGGCTCTGGGCTCTTAGCTGGAAAGGGAGGGGCACGCCGCCCCCTGGTGGGGGGCAGGGGCACTGCAGCCACCTCCCCAGTCACAGACACAGGCAGTCAGGGCTCTGTACAGGGGCTTTTATTGGGAATAAAGGGCGCTGCCGTGGTAGCATCTGGGCTCAGTTGTGAGACATTATGTCGTCGATCCAGGGTCTGAACTTCGAGACACGAGTGGCCACAAAGGGAATCTCGGTAGGGTTGTATTTACCAAAAAAGGACAAGACGCCCACCAGGGTCCATTTTCTATTCTTGCGGCAGACCAGCGAGCCACCAGAGTCGCCCTGTGGGAATAGAAGGACCTGTCTGCACACTGACAGGACTTCAGAACATTGAGAACCCCACCGGACCTGTCATGAGTGGCAAAATTCCAGGGTGGGCCAGAATCCCAGCCAGAGAAACTCCACTTCAGAGGAGGCCCCTCTCTGTACAAATGTGATGGTGGGAGGGGAAGACAGAGGGGTTCCTGGGGTCTGGAAAAAGGGGGTCTCCCTGCCAGTAAAGCCATTTGGGAGGCTCCCCCTACCCTAGCAGACACATTATCTGCAATGTTGGTCTTTGGTGGTGCCTTATCCCAGGACACACTCCCAGGAACAAGGGCGCCGGAGTCTGGGGCCAGGAGGCTCCCATCAGCCTCCTGGGAGGACAGAGTGAGGGCTAGATCAGAGCAGTACTTACAATGTAGAAGCTGACACGTCTGAACCCCGCACAGACCATGGCGTAGCCACTGAAGTTGGGCCAGAACTTCCTGCACGTGGCCACTGAATGCAGAGGAACAGTGGCTTCCTGCAGCTTATTAGGCCGAACCCTGCCTGTTAACAGAGGACCAGTGTGGGCCAGGGCCCTCATCCCTAGCCCATCCTCGTGGTGGGCCAGAGAGCTCACGTCGAGGCCATGTCGCCCTCTCTGAGTCATGACCAGCCCGGCACTCTGTAGTCCTTAGAACCTCCAAGGGCCTTCGGGTCCCAGCCTGGGTCAGGCTGACTTTGCTCCAAGCTCAGAGAAGAAACAGCCCTTCCTGCACAACCTGGGGTGGCCTCAGCCTACCTGGACCAGGGTTGGCACCAGGGCAATGCTTCCCTCAAGAAGGGAACTTGCCTCCTCCTGAATGGACATGCCACTACAGTGCTGACAGGAGCGGCCTTCTCTGCTGCCCCTGCCTGACTGCTCTATGCTGGCCAAGAAGGGGCCTAGCCCAGGGGACAAGGCAGGGGACTGGCAGTCAGGGCTCCAGGAGCACAGTCACCAGGGAGGCCCCAGGCGGGGACACCAGCCAGGGCTGGATGCATCTGACCACCCCAGTCATGTTGGCTGGACCCGAAGCTGGACAGCAGGGTGAGTGGGGCAGGGCCCTCTGAGAATGGGCTGTGGCTGCAGAACCTGACAGGTCAAGGACATCCTGACCTCCGGCCCTGGGGTTCCCTAGGTTGTCAGTAAGAGGCGGTTGTTGAGATTCAGACACAGCTCGGACACTCTCAAGTTCAGGCAAGCCCAGAAAGCAGAGCCCTCAGGTCTGACCAACTGTTCTATGTTCTGAGAGGCAAAACCATGGTCACTCACTATTGGGGTAAAGGTAACCCAGGCCCACAATTTTGCACCGGGTTCCAGGAAGGAAGAAGCCATGAAAACTGGGTAGAGTAACAGGGGACACTGATTGATGGAAACGAGCAGGCGTGTCGAGTTTCAGCAGGGCGATGTCACTGTAGACAGTGGTCAAGTTGAAAAAGGGGTGTGTGAAAACCTGTGGGGAAAGACAGGGATGAAGAGGGGAGAATGTGAGTAATGGAAAGCCCGATCAGGGAACTCAGATGCAGGAAAACCATGGGAAGAACTGAGGCCGTCTGTGGCTCTCGTCTCCCCAGCGGAAGGGTGTTCTCCGCTGGTCACCTCAAACCCGATTCTGCCCTCCTGGCCCATCACTGGCTCTGAAATACCTGGGCAATCCTCAGAAATTCAACGTTAGCATAAGAGCCGTTTAAATCAAACATCCCAGTCATAACTCGGTCAGAGGTCCTAGAAGGAGAAGGCGGTAAGCACTGAGGGGGAGACCAACACCCTCCCTTGCGTAGGCCTTTCTGAACCTCACGTGATATTGCAGTGGGCAGCAGTGATCACCCAGAACCTGTCGATCAGGGAGCCCCCACACTTGTTGTTACCGCTGGATGACTGTAGGAGGAAGAGAAAGTATAACTGACAGGACTTTGTTCACAACTATTTGGGTTCAGTACTAATTAGACTGTAACCCATCATGATTCACTCAAATCAGACCATGCTTACCAGCAGAGACACGTGCCAAGGCCAGTCACCAGGACGAGCGTCCTTCCCATTGATGATCCTGGGTGTAATACTCAGCTCTGAGTCACTGGCAGGGGCCCCAGAGCCTGGGGTCACAGGGAGAGGGGAGAAAGAGGAGGTGCAGTTATTAACCCAGCCCTCGTTGTACCCTCAGCCAGCACAGCACCACCCACACTCCCTCCTGGCACCCAGCACCTAGACTGGAAGAAACACCCCTGCCTGCTGGCCTGTCACCCCCAGGGATGCAGAGGGACAGGCGGTTCCATCCAGGTCCCCCTGGCCAGAGGAGCAAACTCAGGCTGAGGAATCCCTTAGACTTCCCAGTATCCCTGCTGGATCCTCAGCCCCCTCTCACTCTCCCACACTCATTTTCTTCAGGAAATGGGGAACAAACCCTGCAACTCACATGCTTAAACTTACAAAGCTGTTACCGGAAGGTAAAGAATTAAAAATAGTGAGACACAAGGCCACGTGAAGTCTCACGCTCTCTAACAATATCCTGGTAGAAGGTGACCTCTACCATTTACATTGCTGGATATACTGCCTGGAAGTGTAATTTCTTAATATTGTAATAAGATAGGACACCACCTTCGGGAGACACGAGAAGGGAATGAAATAAAGGAATAGGATTGTCCAGAACAGGGAGGACACACAGGGCCCTTGACATGTCCAGGACACATTTACTGGGTCAGGACACAGGAATCTCAGCAGGTCCCAGGACTTGGCCAGAGGAAGAGGGGACAGGACCAGCCCCTTCCATCAGCCAGGCTGCACACTGGTCTCCCAGGCCTTGCTGCAGACAGCCCCTGCCCCTGGGGCCAGGGACATGGCCAGTTCACAATCTCAAGCTGGTGACTCCAAACATGTCTTTTTCCTCATCTATTCTTAAAAGAACAGAAAACCACCAGCAGGAGCTGTGAGCGGCGCCCCCTGCAGGCGCGTCCCAGGAATGCAGGGGGCTGGTCCCTGTGCAGGGAGGGACCTGAGGTCTCACCGCAGTGGGGACAGCGGCTATGACAGGCACAGGGAGGGAATACAGGGAGGGGCTCCCCCACGGAGCCCGCTGTTCTGGGTGAGCCCCACGGGGTGATTGTGTGAAGCCTGCACAGAGTGACAGGCAGGGACTCAGCAGAGGCCCCTTCCAGGGGAGGGGAGGGCGTAGGGGGCTGCTGAACCTGGTGTGGGGGGTCAAAAAATCATTTTAAAAACCCACCAAAATCATACTGGAAATCTGGAATGCTAATATTTGCTAAATATCAGGAAATTCCTGGTGTGTACATTAACACAGTACGAGTTTTTCCACGTTTGTTTCTCTTTTTTTGGAAACTAGAAACTAAACTCTCAGCCATTAAACAAATTCTCTGAGAGAAGTGATTCTGATGGTCACCTGGGGCCATCCTTACCGACCCTCTGACTAAAAGCTGAGCAACTTACTCTCTCTGTCCTCTGAGTCCCTGACATTCTGCTCCACACCTGCTATAGTTGTGAGAGCTGAGAAAGTCCCCAAAGTCTACTCTCCTCCTGCAAAGTCACTGCCTGTCTGCTCTGAAGTTATGGGGTCAGGTGAGGGGTTCAAAACTTCCCTTGGTTAAACACAAGGCCTCACCCCTTGGAAAACCCCCATTCTCCAAGTGGGGCCTGATGTGAGAGCTGCTACCATATCAAGGCCTTCCCCACTCTCCTCCCAGGCCTGGCTAATGCCTCAGACCCCAACACTCACCTACAGAGAGCCCGATGAGGGTGAGGCAGGAAAGGAGACAGACGAAGGCCATGATGAGCAGTCAGGGAAGTGTGTGCTGCCTGCCAGGGGGCTCCCTTTACATTGACTGGGAACCAGAGGTCCTGCCCACTCCCCAGTCTTCCCTGACCTGAGGCCTCACTCCCATTGGTTAAATTTGTCCTGTGCAAGCTCAGCCCCAGTCACCCCAGCACCAGGGTAAAGGGCATCCACCTTGCTCAACTTCACCCAGCAACCTTGGAACCCCAGGGTAAGCTCCCAGCTGTGGGCCCCGCAGGCCCTGGCACCATCATGGACCAGCAGGTGCTCACAAAGACTCATCTAAGGGGCCCTCACCCATGCCACCCAGAGTCAGCACCCAGGACTCCATTTCAACACAGACCCCAGAGCCAGGACCCCAGGCTGCTCCTCACCCAGCTCAGGGAAACTCCCTGAGGCCAGAGACTCACAGCAGGCCCAGCCCCTCAGGAATGTGCCTCTGAATCAGCCCAGAGATGCAGCTCTGGAGCTCAGGAGGTCAAGTCAGTGTCTCACTGGCTCAAGCCAATTCCTACTTTCTTTATAATTAACAAAATTGTTGACTTTTCTTTATATAACTTCAGCTCCTTTTCATGTGTAACTTTGGTCCCCCACATAAATGACCCATTGAGGGCACAGTACAGTACTGACTCAGGAACAAGGAAGATAGACAGGGAAGTCAGCTGCGGGGATGCGTGTCCCTGGGAGGCCCCTGCTGAAAGAGGGACAGCGGGACCTCAATGCCCAGGACACAGGCTAGCCGGTGCACCAAGCCTGCTAAGGACACTGGCCAGGTACTTAGTCAGTCTCTCTCCAAGTCTTCACCCAGGCACATGACAGCCAGACCACTCAGGTCAGAGAGTGGTTTCATTTAACAATCATAGTCTCATTCAACAAACCAGGAGAAAACTAACAGTTACTGAGGCACAAGGGCCGTCTACCTACCTGAAGCAGTGATCAATGTCCTCAACATAAATCATCCCACTTTGGTGTCTTCCTGCACGAAGACCAGGATCAGGCAGCCGCGAGACCATCAGCCACCCTCCAGCTTACAGAGACAACAGAAGCACAACAGAGACGCTCCCTGGAGCTGCCGGGAGGCCCCCGCAGCACCATACGGGACGCTCCCAGCAGCCGCTGCAGGGCCAGACACCCACAGAGGCCACACTCAGCTCAGCGAGGCCCCTGCTCAGGCCTCTGCCTCCCTGTCAGGCCACAGCAGCAGCAAGACTGGCAAAGGGCTTCAGGGCTCAGCCACTTGCAACGTTTTGCTGTCAGGGGCTGACAGCTGGAAGCCTCTCCATGTCCCTCAGAGGCATGCAACAGTCTTCTGGAAGATGAGCATGGTAGGGGCAGGAATCGCTCATCTCGGAATCACTGAGGGACTGAAGACACTGAGCCTGAACCCTGAACCAGGAACGCTCAAGGTCAAGTGCTCCATCCAAGCCGTCATCCGGGTGCTGCTTCTAAGCCCTTATATTTCTATCAGAGTCTCCACCCCAAATGCAATAGTGTGTTCACATTCTCCATGGGGCCAGCCCCCCTCACTGACACCGCCCTCCAGGGGGCGCCACCGGCCACAGGTGACCTCAGTCCCTGGTTCCATCAGACACCTCCTGTGTGTGTCCTGCTGTCTGTGCAGTGTATTTTTACACCAGATATGGGGGGGAGACATTATGATGTTTTATATCACTTGTGTACTCCGATATTCATATCTATATAATTGTGCTGTCTCCTTTCAAGCTTGGTTTGAGGTATTTTGTATTTTGCATTTCTCTTTTGTATATTTACCTTCCCTAGCCTCAATTCGTCCTCACCTGTTCGCCGTGTGTAGGGGCAGCAGGGGTAGTAGCAGGTGTAGGCTGCACTCTCAGGGTTAAAATGTCACCAATGAG